ATCCCAATATTTTTATTTTTCTTATAAATATCTAATAAAAATTTTAGACCAAGCCGTGTCCTGTGACACCGCATGGCATAAGGGCATACGTCCCTAGCCCGTTTGGCCAAGCTGCAAAAATCAGCTTATTTTGAGAAGTGCTTTTTTCAAAAGTGCCTTTCTCAAAAGTACTTTTGGTGAGAAGCAGTTTGTGTTTGGCTAATTAGTTTGAAAAGCACTTCTGAGCAGCAATTAGTGTTTGACCAAGCTTTAAAAAACTACTTCTAAGTGTATTTTTCTCAAAAGTGCTTCTCAAAAAGTGCTTTTGGAGAGAAGCTACTTTTTTCTGCTTCTCCAAAACTGCTTCTGCTTCTCCTCAAAAGCACTTTTTCCTTCCAAAAGCTTGGCCAAACACCTCAATTTTTGGCCAAAAGTGCTTTTGGCAAAAAAAAAAAAAAAAAAAAACACTTTTTGGCCAAAAAGAAGCTTGGCCAAATAGGCTAGTAGACAGTCTACTCTTATGTAAGCATTAGTGGCTGCATCCACAATTTAAACCCGTGACCTATAGATTATACAAAAATAATTTTACCATTGCTCCTGGACTTCCCTTCTTTTTTCTTTTTTAAAATAAGAGATAACATAACGATTTTCATGACACTTTGGGATGTTTTATTGAGCTTGATCGGAAATAATGGAGTATCTATTTTAAATTAAAAAATGTTCACCTAAGGAAATTATTTTGCGCTTCGCCTTTTTCTTTTTCAGTTTCTAACCTTTCTATTCAGGGTTACTGAAAATTAAATTTCCTAATGTTTGAGCACTCCATTCAACATTTAAGAAGGTTGGCTTTCAATCAATTCGGTCGGTTCACAAACCAAATAAGTAGTGGAGTATTTCTTAACTAAAGTATTCATTTTGGCTATTTAAAGTTTAGGAATTAAAAAAGCTCAAAGATTTAAAATGTAAAAAATTACGTTGGGAAAAAAATACTCATTTTTAAGCAAGTCAAAATTATTACTTTATTTATATATATAAAGAGTTTTCTTTCCTTTTATATTAAAAACTGTACTTTTGTATTAAAAGTACTAAATATTTTTTATATATACCTATAAACTGTTATTTTTGTAAAAATGAGGCCCCCAAAATTTTGGGGGCCTAAGGCATAAGCCTTACCTCTTACAACGTTAGAGCCGACCTTGGATTATCACTGAATATTTATTTCGTCTCATATTTATATGATATTATTTGATTTAACATAAATTTTAAGAAGAGATTTTTTTATTTGAAACATGTAATTTGAGATGATCAATGATATACTTATATGGTTATAAAAACATATCATCGAGCAGAGAGAAGAGTGTCACGTCACATAAAGAGAATAGCTCACGCCTATCTTCCTAAAAAAACTCATAAGTATAAAGAAGTGGAGTTTTTTTTTTAATTAATAAATCAACTAGTATGACTTAGATTAATTCTTCCAATAATTTTCATCTGTTTCCCCGTTTTCTTGTAGGAAATGTTGAAACCAAATGGGAAATAGCCATCGTCCTTCTATCAGAGAGAATTAATTTAATATTTTGCCTATAGTTGGTTTCATGGTTTGTAGAAAACGTGAGTAGCCAAAGTTTTATGACATTATTTTAATTTTGGTTTATTCTCACCAATTATATGATAATAGAGTATTGGGTTTCAACTATAAAAAAAAAAAAAAAACAGAAAAGAGCACCAAATGCCTGCGCGCTCAAATGCTTTGAAGTGAAATAGTAGGGTTGAAATTTTGAAGTGCTCAAGATTTTCAAAGAAAGCACATTTTCCGAAACCTAAAAAGTCTAAATTGGGTTTCAATGGTCAAACTAGTGGTGGCGTCAACTTATACTTTTATCATCACAAGATATCAAGAATTTTCTTCTTTTTTTCCTTTTAAGAGTTTCTAGTCTTCTAGAGTTTTGTGTTACTAATCCAATCCAAAGGCTCTTGGATGAGAAACCAACACAAGGGAACATGATATTTTGGAAGTAAACTACATAAAGACTCGCTCAAGATAATATGTTTGGCCAAAATAGAGTGCCTAGTTTGTAGAGGTAAGGTGCTCTGTCCCTACGGGACATCCGAAAAAGTTAGAAACGATACAAAAAATATTAACATGACTCCGAGCAAGTATAATATACGTGGGGTAAAATTGATTAGCGATAATTGGACAAATAACAAGGTGACATGTGGAACTGAAGACAGGTAAGATGTGAGTCAATAAGTAATTGACACCGGATTCCAGCATTTGATCAGTGCTATGTGAATTTCAAAGGCAAGCGTACCAATAACAAAGATTTGAAGGGATGACATCAGACAACATTTAATGAACGGCGGTTACAATCTCTATATTAATAGCCAACCGTTATGCAGCCATCAATGACGGTTTTATTCTCGAACTTGATTTGGGAATCTTGTCTCCCTAATAGAGCTATAAATAGAAGAATTATTATCCACTTTAGACACAAAAAATCATCTGTATACAAAGACTATACTCAACTCTCAAATTATAAAATTACTTGCTCTCTTTTGTTCTTAATATTATTCATGTTACTGCTATCGGGGAAGCTAAGCGCTTAGGCAGGCTTGTATTTTGAATGCGCTTAATTAATTGATTGTTTGATCACCAATTGAATACTATCTACGAATCTAGAATTGAACTCGACAATGGGAATTCTAGATTGCATATAGGATTGAGTAGAGCAAGTTCTTGAACCTGGGCATCGGGGAATGGATTCGCAGTTAGGATAGACATATACCTAATTGCATTGCTGGGTTGATGTACATGAATTATAAATGTGTTCTTGTTAATTCTAATTCCATAGACATATAGGCGTTAGGTTAGCTTGAATAGGCGAGTAAGAACTCGACAGATTCTTATGAGCGATATTAACCCTGTCAACCAATAATCTAGATAAATTAGTTAGTCAATTTAATTGAAGAATACAATAGGAATGTTAGATAGCCCATAACCCTAGATCGTTTCATAGCATTGATAACAATAAAAGTCTACTCTTCCTCTATTCAAAGTTCATTATTTGTTTTTCTTTATTTTAATTAGTTTAGAATCAAATACTTCTAGTTTTAATTCTCGTTTAGATAGTTAGGATAGTTTAATTTAGTTAATAGTTAATCATAAGTCCTCGTGGGTTCGACATCCGACTTTTAGTCACTTTATTACTTGACGACCGCGTATACTTGCGTGTGCGTTTGGCCGCAACATATTTCTTCTAAAGCTATTTTGTAATCTCATTTAAGTTCTTATTTATTTCATATTTTGGATCAAACTTATTCATGTTTTATAAACCACATTACAAATTCAACTGTATCGTTTTACGGGTAAATAGTTTAATGCCCACCGTGGGGCATAGACAATTGTGTAATTGCTTTGATCCGCTTATCTGTTGCTAACGAATTTCGATTCCTTTCTTTGCAAAAGAAAACTCAGATATGGCATGATGATATCAACAATTCCTGTAATGTTGGCGCACACAACGAACGTGAGGATGTGTTCCAACGTGATGATTCAACTAACGCTAATTGTACTAATTCGTCACTCAAAATATTTTCCGAAAATTATTAATCGCCGATTGAAATGAAGTCATTTTTGGCCAAATCAACTGAAGTATATAAGCAAAGTCAAATATAATTTAAAACTAACAAGAAAAAAAAGGAATAAGTGCGATCTTATTCGATGGTGAAGGCTAAGAGCCCGTTTGGATGGGCTTGTTTTAAGTGACTTTTAAGCCAAAATAGCTTTTAAGCTATAAGTTAGGAATTCTAACTTTTGGCTTTTGGCTTGTTTTTGTCATTTTAGCTTAAAAACAAGTGCTTAAAGCACTTTTTTACTTTATCCAAACACTACAAAATGGCTTAAAAGCGATTTTGGCTTAAAAGCACTTAAAACAAGCCAATCCAAACGGGCTCTAAATCTGTCCGGGGGATAGGCAAACATCTTTCATTTTCATGGGGTCTATTTTAAAATCCCATTACGTCGTTACATGGGTGCCTCATTTTACTTTTTATTTATTTTTATTTTAATATCTATCTGATCACACCCAACTATGCCTTATAAAAAGGACTAAGCGGTTGTTATAAATATATTTCGGTTAATAAGTCCGGAGTCGAATCCCACAGGGAATTAACCTATTAAGCACAATTACTAGACTCACACAAATTCACGTAATCAATCTTCAGAAATATTTAAATAACAAACTGGATGTTTATTAACTAAATATTACGTAATGAAAATGCAATAAATAATAACTAACTACGAACGGGTTGTAGACAATAATTGTAATGCTCTAAGGTTATGATTTCCCCTATTGTCGGAATCCTTTTCGCTACGTTTTCTATAAATTTGCCCAAGTCTTCACTACCGATCATGAGCACTTTGACGTTGTAACTGTCTCCCGACTAATTACCATAATATTCTAGACATATTCTCCCGAATTACGCTAGCTCCTTAAGTACAACTCACTCAGATCGCACCAAGGTTTCGTTATTCCTAATCCCACATTTAAACTCTTTGTATTGATCCCTCATATACGTTAGGAGTGATGTTGTTCAACAACTACCTAAATATGCACTCTCTCCCGAGTAATACATACTAAATAGGCACAGTCAATTGATGACCCTTCAATCAATAGCAATAATAGTATAGTTGAACAAATAAAGAAAATACTACGACAAATATATATTAACGTAACAACAAATTCATCCTCCAATAGGTTCCATCAATACCCTATATTAGGAGTTTAGCTACTCATACTCATAGTAATAATATCCAAAGTATTTTGCATAATTAAAATACAAAGTAAAATGAAAGTATGTAGAAATCAATGATTCTAACTCCTAACGGTTGTTCCACGAGCTATCATTGCCTCCGATTGCAAATGTCCTTCAAAATGACGTTTTATGTCTATTTATATGTGTAGGAAAAGACCTAAACGTGTAGGTCAAGTCCTAGTCAAACCAGGAGACGAAATAAGTCTTCAAAACGCGGAATGTGCACGCCCAGACCTGGCGTCGCCAAGTATAACGCTTGGTGGAGCTTGCCTCTGCCTTGCCTCGCCAGCTCCTACGCCTGCTAAGGGCTTGGCGTTGCCTGCCCTAACACCCGTTTTAGGCTTGGCGTCGCCTGCTCTAATGCCTACTTTAGGCCTGGCTTCGCCAACTTTCTCCTTTTCACTGTTCTCGAGCACACTTTCAACGTTTAAGTATCCCTTTTGCTCTACTTTCATCTTCAATTCACTTACTCATAAAATAGACTCCACTACGCGCAAATAAAGTCTAATTTATCATTAAAGCATATAAAATGAAAGGCACATAATGTACAAACTATGAAATTATAGCCACACATCAATACCCCACACTTAAACATTGCGCGTCCCCGCGCAATCAAACTACACTTACAGACACAACCTCTCTAAACAATTCCCTTAACTCATTAGACCAAGAATATTTAAAATAGTCTAAGCACCAAGGTGTAACATCCTCGCCTCAAGATTTAACTCACAAATACCATGACTTATTCACAATGCACTTACTTACTCGAACATGGAGATCAACGACAATACCTTTCCTTTATGAATCATGTGCCCTCTCTCAATCAAAGAGCTTAGTTCCACACACAATGAATTTTAGTAACGTAGGAACTCAAGATAAGAAAAATTCACTCGCTCTCAGAAATAACATTTATATGCCCCAAATGATGCACCATAGGCTTGCCCGTAGTGTAATACTCTACTAATCGAGTTCATTCAGTCTAAGATCAAGCAGGACTTTCATTGGTTGTAATGTAGGCTGCGGGTCATAGGATACATTTGGATATGAGTGACTACACCTCCCTTAATCAGTTTAATACGTACACTTTAAAATTCAAGCCCATATTTATGTCAAACCAAAACTCCATCTTAACTTTACTCTATTTTACCCCCTACTTCTTTAAGCACCAGTATATCACTAGCCACCACCATCAAGAATTATTTTTCATACAATATGGCTATTATTATTATTATTATTATTATTATTATTATTATTATTATTATTATTATTATTATTATTATTATCATTCTTCTTCTTCTTCTTCTTCTTCTTCTTCTTCTTCTTCTTCTTCTTCTTCTTCTTCTTCTTCTTCTTCTTCTTCTTATAATTATTATTATTATTATTATTATTATTATTATTATTATTATTTCTTTTCATTCAATCCAAGTGGCTTTTATTGACATATTTTTTCAAACGGTGCACCTTTCTCCTTATTTCACTTGTTCCACTCAAAAGCCAACCTACCACCCCACACTTTAACTTTTTCGTAATTCATCACAATTCAAGTGCTCATGAGAGGTGACAAGGTTCAAATATATGGTCGATTCAAACAAAGGGGTACGACTTGTGATGTGGTTACCGAAAAAACAAGATTATAGGCTCGAAGGGGTTAACTATGATACATAACATTTAGGTGGGTACTCTATATATATTTGGCTTAACAAAGAAACGCCTATATCATTTCTCAGACTGAACAAGACTACTATTTCGCTTTGCACACACACGGATCAAGTTCTAGACATCAAATGCAATGCACAGAATACATACAAACCTCACACATACATGGCACATAACTCACTCAGGATTGGTTTTTATCACGACAAATATACGATTTAAGGTACTTATACTAGAGTCAAAAACTGAGCCTAAGCGTCACAACTAGAGTACTAACTATTCTCAAGGCATCACAAAGCTAAGAGATATTGCTGCGATTAAATGCATAGCCCCGTGGTTCCTACTCCTAAAAATTAAAACTAACTACACCGGTTCAACTAAAAACCCTTGGAAAACAACCGCGGCCCAAAGAAAAACCAAGGGGAAATTACTACACTACCTAAAAAAATCGTTTTGGTATTTTTCTTTAGACTTACTTCCTTCAAGAAAACTGTCTAGGAGATCCATCGTCGGGAAGAGTCCAAATTTTTTATTTATTTATATTTTCTGACTAAGAACAAATAACAAATAAAAAACAAAAATGAAAATAAATTCTTAAAACAAATAACTAAAACAATTAGCTAACGAAAACGACACTTACTAAAACAACAAAAACAAATAACAACTAAAATAACAAAAACAAATAAAAACTACTAATTTTCTACTAGTCCCCACCCCACATTTAGATCATGCATTATCCTCAGTGCATGCACAAATTGACAAAACAAGAAAAAGGATTAGGGTGCAAGGAAACTCCCTGATCAAGCTGCGTCCTCATCCTCTAACGCTCTCCACTCTTCATCATGTTCTTCCTCCTCCTCCTCCTCTTCCTCCTCATCGTCCTCATCATCTGGCTGCTCCGGCTCGGCCTCAGACTGCTCAGGTGTGTTGATATCCTCATCATCAGGGAGTTTGTATCCATCACCTATCCCAACCAACTACTGGTATGAGCATTGAGCGGGTACCGCTGCTCCAATTAAGTCCTCTCTTCAGATGTGGCCGCCCGACCCCCTATCCTCGACTGCAAATCCATCATCCCATAGAGATGGGCCATAAAACTATCATCACGAGCATTGCACTTAGCACCTGTTAATGATGGCATGACAGTCTCTTCCTTCAGCCGGAGATTAGTGATGTCCGTTTGTCGGAGGGGCTGATCGATGGTGTGGTCAAACTCGGGCTCCTCCTCAACCTCCTCGTGTCTTAAGAACTAAGTCAAAAAATTGGCAAATAGCATTTGATCGACTTTCTTACTCGTTCTGACTGAAGACATCTGGTAGCGGATTAGATGACCCACATTCACCCTTTGACCCGTCATGAGGAAGTAAAGCATACAGGTCCTCTCACGGCTAATGAGCGTGTCATAATTGCACGGTAGGAGCCGTGCATTTATCAGTTTATGCCACACTTGAGCCTCCGCCTTCATCTTCTTATTGGGGAATCTCTTGTGACGATTTATTTTCTTATCCCGGACCCATGCTGCCGTAGAATCGACACCCAAGAGCGTGTGTCTCACCTCTCTATATGTAGAACACCGAATGAAGTGGTCCAATGGCTTCACAGGAACATCTGGCGCACCTAAAAAGTTACATATGGTCGTGGATGAAAAATCTATCAATCATCCACGGATCGCCCCAACTGTTCAGTATCATGTGGATCAAACCCAATATGGAATTCCCGGACTAGATTGAGATTAATATCCCCTGTGTTCTTGAATACATAGCTCAACCCCAAATCCTGGTTGCCCCTCTAAATTGCCTAATACTTTGCTTTCAGGCTGCGTTCCTGGATAGCTGCTTCCGGGTGTACATGTTTAGGCCTACAACACCTGTACCAATCCTTAGTATGCGGGGGTATGTTGTTGATGCCAAACTCCCATTGGCCTTGGGGTTGTGGACGCATGGCTGCTACAGCTGCCACAGCTTGTGCTCCACTTAGACTGGAGGTAGCTTCTTCCCTTTTTTTTTTATTTGGGGGAGGTGCGGAGCTCGCCTTTGCTTTAGCCGGAGCAGTGGAAGTGTCCTTTCCTTTGCTTGTGTCTTTTCTCGGAGGCATCTTCGTTCCTACACAAGTAATGATTAATCAGTTAAAACTGTACTACACATTACACACATAGTCTTGCCCAACCTTCCGAGTTTACTCAGACTTCACCTCGTATTTTCTTAACATTGGAATCAAACAACAACACATGGGCTACCCGTGAGCCACCGCACACTTAAGATTTTAACATGGTGCACGACTACATAATACTAGTCTATTAATCCTGGAGAGTCGGGCTCCAATGGGGACAAGGAGTGCCATTGAGGCATTATACCAAACACTTAGCATGCACTAGTGCCATGGGCGTGCTTGTAAAGGTGAGGGATTGCCTCACCCTCCCAAATCGGCTTGGGAGTTTCTTTCTACCACTTGTTTACACAATACTACACCATTCCTATGGGGTTCATGGGGATGGGACACGGAAACACAATATTACAATGAAGAACAACCCCAAATTTTTGTGGCTAATTTCATACTTTCATCCAACTCGAAATTGAGAAAGAAAGGAGATAAAAATCATACCTTAGATGTTGTAAGATGTGGGTTTAGCCTTTGAACTGCAGTTTCCAGTGAGTGGAAGAGGACAAACTCGCTTGACTTCAATGGGGTTGGATGGCAATGTATGTGCGTGAGTTTTTTGTGATGAGTATTGTGTGAGGAGTGAAGTGATTTAGGTTAGGGTGTTATTTTATGTTAATGTGGGCGTTTAAGTTAGAGTCGAAGAAGGGAGCGGTTAAAAGAAAAGGGAATTTTTGTTAAAAAAACCCTAAAGAAATACTTACCTGGCGACGCCTGCCCTAGTACCTGGCTTTACCCCAGGCGGCGTAATCATGCCCAACTATGCCTTATAAAAAGGACACGCGGTCGTTGCAAATATAATCTGAGTATTTAGCCCAGAGTCGAATCCACAGGGAATTAACCTACCAATTACTCTTGTTAGACTCACTAAATTCTTCGTAATCAACTTCCCAAATATTTTGAATAACAATTGGTGATAGTTTTACTAACTATAACTGAACTAAATTAAGTAAACTTAAGACTAACTATGATTGAGTTGTAAACAATTAAGAGAAGGATCTAAGGTTGTGATTTCCCCGATTGATGGAATCCCTTCCCGTTATGTTTCATATAGATTTGCGTAATCGTCTCTATTGATCATGAGCACTCTTACTACCGTAAATCTCTCCCAAGTAATTACGACAATTTACTAGACGCACTCTCCCTAGTTACGCTAGCTGGCTTTTATTACAGCTCACTTTAGATCACACCCAAGGCTTCGTTATCCCTAATCCCGCGTTTAAACCCTCGGTTATTGATTCCTCATATACTTTGGGGGTGGTGTTGTTCAACAATTACCTAAATATGCACTCTCTCCCGAGTAATACATACTAAATAGGCACAACTAATTGAGGATCCTATCAATTAACTACAGCAAGAACGTAATTGAACAAATAGAGATTAAACTGGGCAAACTATATTAACATAACACGAAGTTCATCCTTTAACAGGTTCCATCAAAACCCTAGACAAAATAATTAGCTACTCATAATCGTATTCATACTAACAACAACAAAATTCATCATAAATGGTAAATACAAAAGGAAGAAAGGAAGAACTCGATGTCAAGTTATCCTCCTTGCCTCTTGCCTCTCCTTGCCTTCAACTAAGCTGTAAAAACCTTGATAATGTTTCTTTGGGCGAGCTGGACCTCTTATAGGTTAAGTAGAATTACCTCCGAACTTCCAAGTTTACCCCTAAAATTATTTGCTCCGAACTGGACTAGCGCGGCCGCGCTCGTGCCCGCGCTAATGGCCACGCATATAGCAAAGTATTCTACCTCGATTTCCTGGGCTAGCGCTGTCGCGCTTAGGGCGCGCTAAGCTGGTACAACACTTTATCTCTTCTTTTCTCTCTTCTTTCACACGTACTCAGCTCCGAGGGGCTTCCCTTGCTTTAATTTAGCTCCAAATACTGTCCTAAGTCCTCATAAGCGCAACTCGCTCCTGCAAAACATGAAATTCACAATTAGAGCCAATTTATCGTCATTTAACCATCCTCTAACAATGAAGCATAGTCAAGTTGGGGCATAAATAATCGCCAAACTACATAAATCTAGCATATTATCAACACCCCACACTTAAATCATTGCTAGTGCTCGAGCAATCCACCCCACGCTATAAAGGTTCCTTCACTAAGATTTTCCCCTAACGTATCACACCAAGAACAATTCACCAAAGTTACATCTAGTAGTGTACAATCTTGGCCTCAAGAGTCGACTCTCACGTGCCGTGCAATATTCATACTTACTCAAATTACTCTATACAAAGGTCAAGACTTACCTTTCCTTCGTGAATCACATGCCCTCACATCAGACAAGAGACTAGTTCCACAAATAATAATATTAAGAACAATTAGGAACTTAGATGGACAAAATTCGCTCACTCTCAAAAAGAACATTCACATGTCACACAGATGCACCATAGGCTTTCCCGTAGTGTACTACTATACTAATCGAGCCCATTCAGTCTAAGATCAATTAGAACTTCATTTGGTTGTAATGTAGGCTAAGGGACGGGTAGGATATATTGGGATATAGTGACTAACCTCCCTAAGAACTTTTAATACACTAACATTCGCCTTCAAAACCATACTTATGTCAATCCAAACATTCCACCACACTTCTATTTATAATACCCCAAACTTCATTAGGTGCAATTGTATCAAGCCACCACTTATCAAGTACTACACTTACTTATTCTTTTTTTTTCTTTCCAGTGGCGCTTATTCTTTTATGTTTTAAAATACTGCACCTTTTCTCTATTTCATTGGTTCCACTCAAAAACCAAACCACCACCCCACACTTTAAGTTTTGCATATTTCATAACCATTCAAGTGCTCATGGGAGGTAAAGGGGTTTAAACAGATGGGCCGTTCAAACAATTGGGTAAGGTTTGTAATGTCGTTGCCAAAGAAACAGGCTTATAGGCTCAACGGGGTTAACTACGATTTATCGCATTTAGGTGGGTCTACTTTATATATCTGGCTTAACAAAGAAATGCCTATATCACTTCTAAGACTGAATAAAGCTACTATTTCGCTTTGCAAACACACGGGGCAAGTTGTAGGCATCAAATGCAGAGCATGGACTACAGTACAACTCACACACACATGGCACATGACTCACCCCTGATTGGCTTATCAAGACACTCTTGTTTGAGTACTCAAGTCAGTTACAGACATGCAATTTAAGGCACTCTAACAAGAATCAACCACTGAGACTAAGTGTCACACTCTAGTACCTACTGTGTTCAGGTGTATCCACGCCAAGGGGTTCTCTTTCTATTTCAGCTCATAGCCCATCAGTACTAACTAAACTATAAACAAAATAAACAAAAGCTAACTACACCCGGTTCAAGCAAAACCCTTGAAAAAGAACCGTGACCCAAAGAAAAATCATGGGGGAGTTACTACTACCTAAAACAAAAAAAAATCTTTTTGGTATTTTCTTTAGACTAACTTCCCTCAATAAAACTGTCTAGAAGATCCGTCATCAGGAAGAGTCCAACATATTTCTGTTTTTTTTTCCAGATTTTCACGTCGACTTAGATCCTCAAGAACCCCGTCGAAAGAGATCTGTCGTCGGGACAAGTTGACTTACCTAATTTGACTATTACTCAAAACCACCAAAAACAATCAAGAAAAACAAAGAAAACATCAAACAGTCAAGTTGTTACATATACACACATACATTGAAGTATCCCCCACCCCACTCTTAAAAGGAAGACATGTCCTCATGGCATACAAAATAAAGAACAGTGAGGTAAAGGAACTTCCCTGAGTGATCACTCCTGATCGGAGACCGTGTCCGGGTTCAAATTGCATGCACGACCCAGAGCTCGCAGCCAGCCCAATATTGTCTTCTCTGATTTAACTTGCTGAGTGGCCAGCGCATCAACATGATTACCTAAGTCGGCGACCGAGGTACGCAACCCTGCCACCTCCTGATCTAAAGTTGTGAACCGGGTGACTCGAGCAGCCCTAGACGGTCCTGCAGCCTCTGCAATTTGCTCATGGGCCGGTGACTGGGCCCTGGCTTCCTCTTACTCATCCTCCCCTTCCTCAGATTCATCGGATTCAGCACTATCACCGCCACCAGCTGCCACAGGCTCCTTCCCAGTGGTTACCTTATCAGCTCGAAACATGGAGTCTTTTGGCACTAACCCATCCATATTCAAATTCTCCGGCACTCGAGCTGCCCGGCAGAGTCTAGTAACTAAGGAAGGCAAAAAGAACCCATACCTCTTTACCGGACAACGGGTAAACATCTCCTCGTGAATGAGCTTGGCCACGTCAAAGTTGTGACTATTTACAAAGCACCAAATTAGAGCAACTCGAGGAGCATTCACCTCCGTGGTGTTGGAAGATGGGATCAGGCGGTTATTGATGACAAACAACCAGCATTTCCCTTCGAAAGTGAGTGCCGAGGAATGAAACTTCTTCCCATACTTCATCCATACAATTTCCTTACCGGGTACACAAATGGTTTCGAAGAATATCTTCCACTGGGTGTATTTCCTCCCATACATAATAGTCTTCATACTCATCCACCGGTGCGGGCAACTGGTATGTCCTCCGAATAGTCTCCACAGAGGCATCCACAGGCTTTCTGCGCACAGTTACTACGCCATCCACATGTTCTTTTACGTTGGCGTAGAATTCACGGACAACCATCAAATTCCCCTCGTCCGGCTCTTCAAAGAAGATTTGCAGCCCCCGCCTGACCAGCTCATGATACAAGTTAGGGCAGCCCAGCTGGAGTGACCCTATATCTATGCCCGTCTCCGGAATGGGTTTCTTAGGGGCCTTCTCTACCAAACGGTCCTGATCCTTGGCAAAGACGAACCTGCTACTATCAAAGGGACGAGCAGGAGCCGACCCGCGCGCCCTGGACGATCTAGCTTGACCGCTGGAAGAAGCACCTATGGTGCGGCATTTCCTGGATGGTGCCATAGTAC